TGCAAGATTCTATCATGTGACATATGACATCTCTCACCAAGGTCATATATTTTCCTACTGACCCTTTTTGTTTCCAACGTTTGCATTTAAATCACCAGTAATTGTCAATGCATTTTGATTTCATGTTTGCAGAAATTGGTAAAAGTCTTCAATTTCTTCATCTTTGGCATTAGTGGTAGGTGCATAAATTTGAATAATAGTCATATTAACTGATCTTCTTTGTTTGTTGTTAAGTGCTGTTGAGTTGGTTCCAACTCACAGTGACCCAAGGAGTGTCAGGTGTGTTTGAACTGCTGATCTTGCAGTTAGCAGTCCAGTGCTTACCCGACAAAGCCACACCAGGACTCCTTTTAGGCATATAGATATGATCCTGTCACTGACAGTATTGTATTTCATGATAGATCTTGAAATGTTCTTTTTGACAATGTGAAGCCATTCCTATTCAATTTGTTATTCCTGGCATAATAGACCATACAATTCTGTTTCAAAATGGCCAACACCAGTCTATTGCAGTTCACTAGTGCTAGGATGGAGTCCTGGTGTGGCACTGTGGGTTAATACGTTGGACTGAAAAGTTGTTTGAACCTCAAGGTTGGTGGTTCAAGCTCACCAGCCTCTCCTCAGAAACCCTATACAGGGTTGCTATGGGTCGGAACTGACTCAATGGCACTTAACGTGCCATTTTATTTCTGACAACTTTCCCTTCCTCTGGATTCATACTTTGTACATTCCACATTCAGATTACTAATGGATGCTTACAGCTGTTTCTTTTCATCTTGAGTTGTGCCACATCAGCAAATGAAAGTTGACTATTTTGTGGAGGCAGTTCTTCCCCAGTTGCATTATAAGTGTCCACCTGAAGGTGCTCATCTTCTAGCACTGTTAGATAATGTTCTGCTCTTTTCTGCTGCTGTTCATACAATTTTCACTGGCCAATTTTCGGGAAGTAGATTGCCAGGTCCTTCTTCCCAGTCTTAGTTTGGAAGCTCCATTTAAATCTGCCTACCTTGGGTGGTTCTTCTGGCATTTGAAATACCAGTGGCATAGCTCCCACAATATAACAGATGAGTGGTGGATTAAATACAGAACATCTTTATTGTTTTCTTGGACATTCCCCACATGTCTCTAGGTCTCCTCACTTAAGTCTCTTCAAAATCCCAGTTGAGTATGCCTCATGTGTCCCCCCCTCCAAACTGGGGACCCTGACCGATTCAACAGTAGATAGATACACTCTCAGGAATTGCTGAAGTGTTATGAAGGAAAACAGCCAAGGTTCAGGGATAGGGCGTGAGGGAGTGCTACTCTGGATTGTCAGGGAAGATGTCCTAAAATGATCTTTAGGCAGAGACATAGAAAATGAAGGCAGTAGCCACGTCAATAATAGTCATGTAAGTATATTCTTACCTTGGGAACTGTCCAAACAGAGGGGGCACAGCAGGGATAATGGCTGAGGTCAGATAATGATTGATGTGGCTATCTCCACTTGTGATGTTTCTGGGGACAGGATGGCCAGAACCACACCACAGGCATCAGAGAGAATGCAGACCCCATAGGAAGTCTGCCAAGTGGCTATGGTGCTTGGCTTACTTATCCAGCAAGGGCCTGACCTATCATTCAGGAGCTTCGTTCGGCTAGCCTCCTCACAACAGCTGCAACACAAGTCTGGCAGTCCTCCACTGCTTAGAACCTTCATGCTTTCTGAGCTCCCATTTTACTCAAAGAAAAAACCAGCCTCACCATGACTACGAGGTCCTACAGGATCTGGCCCATATTTCTGTCACAACTTACCATTCCCCTTCAAGCACTCCATTTCAGACTCACTAGACTTTAGTTCCTACCACAATTTTTGTACTGGCACGGGACCTCCTGGGTTCATACAGACTGGGGTGTAGTTGTGCCCAAGGTCACTGGACTAGGGCAAGACTGGCAATATCAATCTGCGCTGTAGACACCTCTGTGGTTACAGCTCAGGATGTGGATATTCCTTGGATCACACTGACTTAGGTGTGTAGTCTTTGGTCACAGAGAGTGTACTTTCCTAAAGATATGGAATTAAGCTGAAGACAATGGTTGTCCTTCTAACTGTTGAGTTTCTGTCAGCTCTTATTTGCTAAGTTGTAGGAGGAGTTCAGGAGTGCAGTCAAGGCTGACATTCTGACATTTCTTTAAGACAGGGATTCTTAACCTCATGACTTTGTTCTGTGAACCCTTGGGCCTCCAGTGAAACCTGTGGATTCCACAAAATATTTCTAAAAAGGCATGCAGGCAAACACACACTCATAGAGGATTACAATGAAAACTAATTAAATTGGAATCGTTATCACCCCATGTGTATTAAAATGAAACAAAGCTGGGATATAGTAATATATGAATTTCTTTATTAGTACATCAAATAACAGGATCTACTGTGATTCAAAGTAGTAACGGATGTGAAGAATATTGCAAGGTACCTGCAACAACTGCAAATAAAAAATGACTGATTTGTGTTGGCGAGAGTTGCAGGTACTGCTTTTATTACTGTGATTTATTGCCAGCATTCATAATTAGGAATGAAATGAAATTCTTTTATATGAATGAAAATAAAGATATATTTTTCTCCATCAAGTTCATGAATACCCCTGACTTGTGTCCAGGTTAAGAACCCCTGGCTTTAGGAGTAAATTCTGGACATTTTTAGGACACTGCTGGAAAGGTTTTCCTAGAGAAGAGGCAAGACCTCACTCTAAAATTCCCACCACAGTGCAGACAGACATTTCTGCAGTGTTTGCTTGGTATTTACATGGTCGACGCAGATTCCCACTCAGGGCTTGCATGGTCAGGCCCTGTTGATGACATGATGATATTTGAAAACAAGTTCATCAATGCAAATTCTGGCTCTCCTGACAGCAAACAGCTTCTGAGTCCAATCAGCTAGCCAGCAAACTGAAGGTCAGAGAAAAAGCAAGTTTTAAACAAAACCCACATTTTTCCACTTTCTTCTACTATAACCATTATTCACTAAGCTATTAACATTTTTTGTAAGTATAGCCCCTACTTTTATTATATAAAGGTGTAATGCATAAATGTATAAGACATACGTGTTCAGTTTAAGGAGTAACACTAAGGTGAATGATATGCCTGGGTTATTTTGTTTAACTGTAGAAGGTTCATTCTTATGGCCCCGTAGTTGCTCATGGCAAATACAGCACAATTTAATCACCCATCCTACAGTTGATTATGTCTGTGTTGTTTCTAGTTTGGGGGTAATGCTGCTATGAACATTCTGGAGTTCTGGTGTGGTGCTGTGGGATAAAGCACTAGACTGCAAGGTCAGTTTGAACCACAAGGTTGGTGATTCAAGTCCACCAGCTGCTCCTTGGAAACCCTACACTGTGAGTTATGGCTATGAGTTGGAACTGACTTGACAGCACTTAACAACAACAACAAATGAACATTTTAGTACTCAGTTCCCAGGAGTGGAACTGCATATATGCAGCATTAGATAAGGTCTAGCAGTTTTCCACAGTGGTCACGCCACCAGACACTCCCACCATCAATATGTAAGGGTTCCAACTGCTCCATACCCTTCCAAATGCTTAGTATTGGCAATCTTTTGAACTTCAGCTCCATTCCTGTGCTTAAGTTGTAGCTTTTTTATATTAAAGCTATTATACATTGCTGTTGTTAAGTGCCATCAAGTCAATTCTGATTCATAGTGACCCTGTACAGGGTTTCTGAGGAGCATCTGGTAGGTTTAAACCATCGACCTGTGGTTCCCAGTCCAGTGCTTATCCTACAGTGCCACATTGTACATGTTGTTTTTCAGTGCTGTTGAGTCGGTTCTGGCTTATAGTGACCCTGTATAGGGTTTCCACTGAGGAGTAATTGGTGGGTTTGAAGTGCCGAACAACTGAACTTGTGGTTCGCAGTCCAGTGCTTATCCTACATAGGGATTGCAAATATCTTTTTGTACTGTGATGTGCCATTTCACTCTTTCAAAGGTGTTTTTGAAAAGACTCAATCTAAATAAGTTATAAGCCACTGTCAGAAGGGACATCCTCTATCATTACATTCTACTGATGAGGATTCCTCCAGTACTAACAGATTTAGCCCACTCTGCCACAGGTTATAAACACCCTAGACACAGTTCTATCCCAGGGCTTTTGCATTTGCTATTTCTACTACCAAGATGTTCTTTCTTAAAAGCATTCCAAAAGCATTCCCTTCTTTATCTACTTCAGGTCTTTGGCCAAACATGACTTATTCAATGAGGCCTTCTAAGACCACCTTTACTGTAAACCACCATCTCTTTATGCTGCTTTACTTCCATTTTTCACATCTTATATTACTTGTACATATTATCTATCATAATGCAAGCTATATATAAATATGAGGGGGCTTCAACAAGTTTCTGGAAAAATTCCATTATCTTTTTTTTTTTTAATTAAATGTTTTTATTTTGCATTGAGTGAAAGTTTACAGGGCACATCATCAGCTTCACATTCAACCATTCATATAGCTTGTTTCATTACATTGATTATTATCCCCGCTATATATCTATATATCATCAGTTTACAGTGTTTCTCTCTATCCTCTTTAGCTTTTTTTTTTTTTTTTGGATTGGGGGGGACCATTATCTTTTAATTCCATTTTCCCACTAACTTTGGGAACCCCCTTTGTATATAGTGAAATGCAAGCTCTGGATAAGTAGAGTTGTAAATATGAGAAGGCATCAAAAAGTTTGTTGGAAAATGGAGTTTTTTCACCAACTTTTTGAAGCCCCCTTGTGTGGAAACAGGATATCTGTTTGTTTTGTTCTCTGCTATACCGTCAAACCTAGAATCACATGAGCTCAATAAATGTTTACTCAATGTCTGAATAAATAATATGTAATAATAATAATACGTAAAGCAGTTCTTGGCATACAATTGATGCTTAATAAAGGTTTGTTGATTAATATCTTACTAAAAATTTCAAAGGGGCCCTTTACTCAAGCGCTTAGATAAAAGACAAACTTACCTTAATATGTTAAGGTGAACAATTCATATCACTGTCTTCCACCTACCCAAGAAAAACAAAAGGGACTCAGATACTTGGCTGAGTTCTTCTGTTTATTATGCTTGGTTTTACCCATCACATTCTATAGCTACTGCAAGGCAAAGATGAGAATTTTGTTCCCCACAACCACATGATTTTGGGCAGGAAGTGGCACATTAGGAGAGGGTCACTGTGGGTTCAGAGAAAGGACACAGAGGGTCCTGGCCATGCTTCCAGACCTCAGAGGCCAGCAGGGTATGGCATGGTGGGACAGCCAGGGGTTGGGACAACACATCCACTATGCTGATGGGGGTCTCCTGGGGACGAGTTTCCTTAGCCAGCTGCCCCTTCTTCTTCAATGTGCAGGCCTCTTGGTATGGTGGAGAGATGGGAGGCTGTGTGGGTGGAGTGTACTTGTATTCTGAGCCATCCTCTAGCTGCAGGAACACATGGGGGATATGATGAGGACCTGAAAACCCAGGGCAGCTGCTCTCCCCAGCCCCTGTCCACTGCTGGCCAGGCACTCACATCCAGTGGGTAACTGCGGTCAGAATCATAGGCGCTCAGGTCCCCACAGGTCACAAATGGCACAATGATGCGCGTGGGGCCATCCAGCTGGTTGAAATCTGGGTCTGAGGCACAGGGCGGGAGAAGTCTGAGGACAGGGCGCAGATGCCTCAGCATGGGTATCAATTTCTCCAAGAGGATCCATGCCCTGCTGTCCCCAAATATTCCCTAGCTACTCTCACATTTCTTTACCAGAAATCCTTGACCTGTTTCAGCTCTCCTCCTCAGGGAGGCTTGGGGCCTTTCTAAACCACCGGCATCCCTGGTCTGCTCTTTTTAAACAACACTTACCTATTATATGGAGTCCTGGTGTGGTGCTTGGGTTAATGTACCAGACTGCAAAGCCATTTGAACTGCAAGGTCAGCGGTTCAAGCTTACCAGCTGCTCCTTGGAAAACCCGATACAGGGTCGCAACCGACTCGATGGCATTTAAGAGCAACATCTATTATATGCCTGACACTCGATTACATGTTGTTTGCACCTTGTCTCATTCTCCGCAAGGGAAGGCTCTTTGTCTTTTTTTCTCCCCAGGAGTGAGATTAAAGACCCGCATGGAGCAAAATGCTATACAGAGGATGAGTTTCCACCTGGGAGTGAGACTGAAAGGCTTCCCTTCCTAGAATTTCCTTAAGCAGGTAGTCTCCACAGGGCAATGCCCTGGATCTTTCTGGGACAGAACTCAGATCAAAGAGTTACCACTAGGGATTGGGACAAAATAGCCACAAGTGATGGAATATCAACCACAAGGTAGGCCCAAGGATCCTCACAGAATACCATTTCCACAAGGGTGGGGCTAAGGACTCTAATAAGGCAGAAGTTCCACAACAGGGTAGTGCTACTACCAAAAGGTAGGGCTGTGGAACCTCTTGGGATAGACTTCCTACAAGGTGGCAGAGTCTCCACTGGGGGTGGGGCTGATACATAATTTCCATAAAAGGGCAGAGTTTTCCCAGGGATGGGGCCTACGACTCTGGCTCTCACCGTATGAGTGGTCCAGTAGGGGTTTTGTCAAGTCTGGTATGAAGCCCTCAGGAGGGTCATAACCCTGGCAGACAGCAAAGGCCTCTGTGGATGGAATCTGGAGTGAGTGGTGACTGCCATCTATGCCGGCACAGGATGCACCCCCCCCCCCAAGAATACCACCCACCTACCCGGTCCATCCACTCCACTGACCAATGCTAGAGTTCCGGCTGCTCCTGGGCTTGGCACACACCACATTGGAGAAGAAGACCCGCAGCTGGCTGTAGAGCAGTGTGACATCACGGCCTCGGAAGATCTGGGAGGTGGGGAGTCAAAGATGGAGGGGCGAGAGCAGCCTTCAAGGATCCCTCTCTACCCCCATCTAGTGTTCCAAGACTTACTTTGGCCACAAAGCAGCCCCCTGGTTTCAAAACGTGTGTAGCAATGTTCAGAGCCTGTGGGCAAGACAGATAGCTAAGGCTGAGATAGAGACAACTGGGAGGAGGCCAAGCTGGGGCACAGACAGCCTGGGTTACTTACAGCCAGGAGGAGCTGGGCCTGCATGTACTCATCCACATCATGGAGGCCAGTTACTGCAGTGAGAGGAACAATGTTACAGTATTATGTATCTTCTTTATCAGAGAGGTTACAAATGTTAAGTTCTAGATACAAATTAGTATCTAACCAATTGCTTTCTTCCTCTGAGCTCCTAACCTTCAGAAACTCATTTTCATTTTCAAAATAACCTCATGTGCAAGGACCATTATCATCATTTCCATCTCCAGCCCAAACTGCAGCTCTGAACTTGACTCTTAGATCCAACTTGCCATCTCAGACTCAACGTGCTCCCAAACAAACTCATGACCCCTTCTTAAACTTTCTCCTGCCATCTTCCCCATTTCATTTGATCCTTACAGTTTAGTTGAACAGATCCCAAACTTTAGGTACCCTTGACCCCATTTACAATGAATCCATGAGTAAATCCTGTCAGGTCTACTTTACAAAAATATACTATATCTTTACACAAATAACACGTTTATGTTTCTTTGTTAATTGTGCAAACCCTTAGCATGTTAGTTCCCTATATGTGCTATGCTCGTGTCTGCATTATTGATGGAAAAAAATATACATATGGTATTGAATCCACCCTCTTTTCATCTCCACTATTGCTACAACTGTCACCGTTCATTCACCTGGAAGAACGAAGAAGGCTTCTCCTCACCGGTTCCCCTGTTTCCATCTATATCCCTTTCAGCAGCCAGAGGGTTCCTATTACAGCCCATGTCACAGCCCTCCTCTGCTCAGAACTCTCTCATGGTTTTCTCCAAGCCCCCATGTCACTCAGAGGAAAAGCCGGAGTCCTCACCAGGGCCCTTACCTACAGGATCTGGCCTCCACCATCTCTCTGACCTCACTCACTGAGCTCCAGCTACACTAGTCTCCTTCTCACCCTGCCACATCTATGCCAAGCACATGCTCAGCTAGGGGCTTTTGCACTGGTTGTTCTCCAGACACACCCATGGCTCACTCTCTCATCTTCTGTAGATCTCTGTTCTAAAGTCAGTGAGGCCTTCCCTGCCCACTTTATTTAAAAGCTCAACATGCACTCCCCACATCCCTTCTTATTTCACTGATTTCCCCGTGGTACCTATCTATCACCTTTTAGCATTCTACATGTTTCATTCAATGGTTTATTTTGCTTCTTTGCCATCAGTGCCCAATAGAACACCAGTTCCACAGGGTTAAGGATTAGTGGTATTTGATTCACTAATGTTTTCCCAATGCCTGGAACAGAGCCTGACACATAGTAGGTGCTCAGTAAATGTTTGTGGAATGGATGGTTGACTGAATATGAGGAATAATGGGCGAAGAAGAAAATGGAATCGGACAGCTGCAGAGAGATAAGAGGGACTGGTGGACAACAAACACAGAACAGATATTTGGGGGAAGACAGAGAGGGGAGACTGAGGTAGTGAGCAAGCCGCAGAGGTGAGAAGTTGCCAGATATGGAGGAAAGCAAGAGAAGGCAGTAATTGCAGAGGTGAAAGAAACGAACAGAGGTAGAAGATCCTGAGAAAGACATACATACAGGGGCCTTACACTCTGTTGCTTACCGTCAGGAGCCCCATCACACACCACTAGGTCTGCGGGGCAGCCCTCAAAATGCTGAATGATCTCCTTGGCAGTAGAGAGCTATGGAGAGAGGGAGAATGAATGGCCCAAGCTCCCCCGCCAGCTGCTGCCCGTGAACCCCACCTGCCATGACCTTGACCCAGCCAAATGCTCAGGCTTTGCCGCTCTAAGACTGGGCTCCATCTCTAGGACTCAGTCTCATCTTCTTTTTTGCTGCTTCTTTGCAGTGCAAGTCTGCTGGCCCTGTGTCTCCACTATGACTCCCTCGCAGCTAGTGTCTATCTTGTCTCACTTTCTACTTCTCACTCTGGCTCGTCCTTATTTGCCTCCATCCAGGATATACCCTGACTACCCCTAGCCATGCTCTCACCTGGGTGATGTCCCCCTGGATCTGTAACACACCTGGCAGTGGAGCCATCGCCTGCAGATCCACAGCCACCACATGTCCACCCCTGTGGAAAACACAGCCCATCGTCAGCTCAGTCTTCGCCTCTAAGGCCCCCTTACCGAACCTGCCCTCTCTGTCCCCCACCAGTGATCCCACACTCACCCAATCTTCTGGCTTAGCACTTGGCTCCAGCTGCCTGGAGCGGCACACAAGTCGACAGCCCGAATCACACCTAGGCACACACAGGAAGATAGATTAGTCTCCAACCCAGAGATCCCTGGCAAAGTTCACCTCCACCCGGGGAGCACATATTGCCCAGGCACCCAAATCTTCCTCAGGATTGTGCCCATCTTCTTGACTGTCTCTGTGCCCACCAACAACAGAGAGCTCTGCAGACCTAGCCAACTTGCCTATCCCCTTGAACCAGGCCCTCTCAGCAACTCGCCCGCCTGATGAGAACCTTGAAAAAGTTGGAATTCCTCATCGAGTTGCAGTAGCTTGTAAGCACTGCGGGCACGCCAGCCATTCTCCTTGGCCAGGCGGTAGTAGACATCCCGCTTGTCCTTTGATGTCCGTCCCATCACACACACAGTTTGTCCAGGGACCTGCCAACAGAAAGCTGATGCCAACCTGTATCAGTAACTGGTGGAGGGGCAGGGCAGGGAGAACCACAAAAACCAAATTGAGCTCCTCTGACCCACACGACAGCCCATTCAGCAGATGGGAAGACTGAATGAAGCTCAGTCACTGATTCTCCTGACCGCACTTACCCTGAACAACCCATCTCACAGACAACACACAATAGCCATCAATACCCTGTTCATTCCCCTCAGAGTTCCCTATCATTTACCTCACAGAGCTCTCCATCACTCACCTCACAGACCCCTCATCATTGACTTCATAGACCCCATTAACACCTCTCTGACCATGCTCCCAATAATCCTCATTGCCCCTAGATTCACATGCTCCCATTAGCCTTTCACCCCAGTATTCTAAAACTACCTCATTGTACTCCTCACCCTCTCAGTCTTCATCTCTTGCTGCTCCCCCCCCCCATTAATCCCTTAAATGATTAAGCCAAAACCAGTGCCATCGTGTTATTATAAATCATGGTGCTCCCCATCATCCCTGGCCATCTGTGTGTTAACATAGAACTGTGCTCCACTGGGTTTCAATAGCTGACTTTTTGGAAATAGACCACCAAGTCTTTTCTTTCAAGGCACCTCTGGGTGGATTCAAACTGCCAAATATTGCCTGGTCCTATTGGTATTTACCAACCCCCATTAATGCCTGGAGGATCATGCCATTTTAGCCCCTCTTTAAGCTCTCAACTGGGAACGCAGTGGCTCCATAGGATAAGCACTAGATTGCGAACCGCAAGGTCAGTGATCCAAGCCCACCAGCTGCTCCACAGGAGAAAGATGAGGCTTTCTGCTCCCTAAGATTTAAAGCCTCAGGAAACCCTACACAGGGTCGCTGTAAGTCTGAAGACGCTAAACAGCATTTAACAACCACAAAGTCTCAATTACTATGACTTGTCAGCCCCACATGAACTCATTAGCTCCTCAATCAATCCCTTCATCAGTCTCCTATAGCCTCTCATTTACTCGCTGGACACAAAACTCTTACCAGCTCTTCTCTCTCCTCACTGCCTTCACGAGTCAGTGGCTGGCCATGCATGTCTAACAGTTTACTATGTATTCCTCTTAGAGCTCACTCTGTCATCATTAATTCCTGGATGATCATGTCATGACTGCCCACTATTAACCCTTTGAGTACAACACCTCACCAGCTTCTCATTACATCTTCTTTGCTCATTGCCCCCATTAGTCCCCTAATCATCACACGCACACTTGTTAAGTGCTGTGGAGTGGGTTCCGACCCACCGAGATCCTGTATAGGGTTTCCAAGGAGCAGCAGGTGAGCTTGAACAGCCGCACCGACTTTTCAGTCCAGCGCATTAACCCGCTGCGCCACACGCACACTAGCTCTCCATTAACCCCTTGATGATCACCTCTAATCGATTTCTATTATTCCCTCCATGGTTGTTATTTAGTGCTGTCGAGTCTATTCCGCGAGTCCCGATCCTGTATAGGGTTTCTGAACAGTGGCTGGTGAGCTTGAGCACGCTGACCTTGCGGCTCAAACCGACCTTGTAGTTCAGCGCATTAACCCGCAGCGCCACACCAGAACTCCATACATAGCATTATCATTATGCTTTCTACTTCTATGCCCCATCAATCACTCTCTATTAGCCTCCAACAATCCCTTGGCGATCACACCTCCACCTGCCTTCTATTATCTTCCACTTGCCCACTATACCACCCCTCGTTTATCAATCAATGAACACATCCACACAGAGCCCGAGGATCCTGTGGATTAAAAAGCTTCATTACCATCCCCATCAGACCTCCACTGCACAACTTGCCAGTAACAATTCTGACCACACCCCCGTCCCTTCTCATCAATACCTCCAAAGCCAAGTCCTCATCGGAAATACGAGGTCTCTCTCAAATGCAGCTCCGTGAATATCTGGACCCCGAGCCGATCCTGAATAGGGGTCCCCTTCTGCATACAAACCCCAGGTCTGGTGCCCATCCAGTGCCAGCTGCTGGAGCTAGGCTGCCACCAAGGGCCAGGACAATTCTTCCTCTGGTGGCAGGCCTGGATTCCCGACCTCCGCATGGGACAACATACCTTATCTTTCAGAGCGGGAGGAAGGGGACCCTTTCCTGCGGGAGGAAGCAGTCGATGTGGTCTGAGCTGCAGCGAGAGCGCAAAATAGAGAAGCCTTAGGGCGTCAGTTTGTGTCTTTAGCTGATCCAAAAGCGCCTCGCGCAAGTTGAAGGGCGAATGCCGCGCAGCATGGGCGGCTATGTGGTTCGCTGAAGCTCCGGCGCGGCCTGGACTCGATCTGAACGTACAACGTGAGCTCCGTCATCTTGTGTTGACGTGGCTGGTCATTCGAATTGCCGTTCCCAGCATGCAACGGTCACCCCCAAAGCTGTTGAAGTCGCGCAATGTGTAAATGAAACATCGCGAGGCACCACAATTTGTTCTTTGTTCTTTTGTTTTAATGCTAAAATCGATTTACTCCCTCGCCCTTCCCCTTCCTGGATGGCGATTTAGTTGAGCTGTGGACCACATTTCCCTAATTGAATGAGTGCCTTAGCATTCTTTCATTGTTCATTGTTCACGTGAGCCAGAGCAGAATTCTCGCGGAGGGTAAGAAACTTTTTAAATGTTAGTTACTAGTTGTTGTTGTTAGGGGCCATCGAGTCGGTACCAACTATCATTGCCATGCTTGAGCCCAATCCATCTCGCTGGGGATCCGCCTCTTTTTCTCTGACCCTCCACCTGACCAAACATGATATCCTTTTCCAGCGACTGGTCCCTCCTGACAATATGTCCTAAGTATGACAGATGAAGTTTGGCCATCCTGGCCTCCAAGGAGCACTCTGGCTGCACTTCTTCCAACACAGATCTGTTAGTTCTTTTGGCAGCCCATGGCACCTTCAATTATTAAAGTACTCTGAAATTTATGAGCTTCAAGTGAAATCACACCTCCACCAACTGCTGGCTGGCACTGCCTGACTTTTACCATCGCAGACCTTTTGTTTTTGACATTAACAGATGTATTGGGAAGATTAAATAGGTGTAGTTTAGCACACTCTCTGGCCTTCCATAATTTTGTTCTTCAAGCATTTTAAACTCTGATCCACAAAAAAAGGTAAACCGCATTCCAGTGCACAAACGTGTATTAATGGAAGCAGCTATGTCAGCGGTTCAAACCCACCAGGGGCTCTGAGAGAGAACGATGAAGCTGTCTACTCCCATAAAGATTTACGGTCTCAGAAACCCTGTGTAGGGTGGCTATGAGTTAGAATCGACTTGATGGCAAAAGAGTGAATTTGTTGTTAAATGCGGTCAAGTCGCTTCTGACTCAGCGACCCTGTATGGGGTTTCCGAGGCTGTAATTCTTTGCCTCTCCCGTGGACCGCCAACTTGTAGTTCACAGCCTATTGCTTATCTACAAAATCACGTTCAGTGGAGTCCTGATAAATGGCTAACAACCAGCATTCTGGGAAGAGAGAAAACAAACAAACAAACAAAAAAAACACAACTTCTAACATTTGCCAATTGCCATGGATATCCTCTCATCTTGGGAGACTTCAATTTACTAGCGTATAGTCACTGAACAAAAGGAGCTCTGGTAGCGTAGTGGTTACGAATCGGGCTGCGAACCTTACGGTCAGCGGTTCGAAACTACCAGCTGCTCCGCGGGAGAAAGATGAGGCTTTCTACTCCCGTAAAGATTTACACCCTCGGAAACCCTGTACAGGGTCGCTATGGGTCGGACCCGACTCGATGGCACTTAACAACAACAACAACAACATAGTCACTGAACACTATTCTAAGGGGAAAAAGGCCCCAAATTCAAATGTATCTTATAGCATCTCCTTTATTAAATCTTATTTAAGGCTTAATACCAGACAAAGACAGCAGGAGGCCATAATGGAGTCAAAAAAGTTCATGGCCACATTGCTAATTATAGAAAATAGGAAACACAAGAAATTAATCACAGAATCATGATTGGTGGCAGATTAATTAATCACCGTCACAGTTGGGACTATGGAAACAGGGGTGAAATGGGGTGAGGTGGTGGTGGTGTGGTGGGGAAGGACCATAATTAGAGTAGTACACTAGTGCAGATTAGAAAAGTTTACGGGATTTGTTCTGGGGCCCTCCAAAAATCAAGAATGATCATGTTGCCCTGGTACCCCAATTTTCATTAAGGGCATGCCCAAAGCAAGTCCCTGAGGGTGAGACTGCCCCTCCCTGGGCTTTCTGTTGTTTCATTAAGTGCCTTTCTGCCTCATAGTGATTCTCTATAGGGTTTCCTAGGAGCCACTGATCGGTTTGAACCACTGCAGTTAGCAGTCCAGTGCTTATCCGACAATGCTACACCACGACCTCCTTGGGCTTTTCTGGGGAGTTATAATCTGCTGTCAAACACACTCTGCCAGAGGACAAAGCTTTTTACATTGTAGGCTTAGGGTCAGTATGAACTCTATAGAAGCTGACTTTATGCCAAGACTCAAAATGGAGTAAGAGGTTTCACCAGAAATCGTAGCTTTCCACAAACTAAGTGCTTAGAATTTAAGCTCCATACAGCACAGTTGTAAAGAGACACAGTGGTGCACCATTAGATCACATTCCCATCATACAGATAGAATAGTGGCGGTGGGTAGCTGTGCTCTGTGGAGGCAATTCTGCCTCATGGTGGTGGTGGCTGTGTGCCGTGGAGTCGGTTCCGACTCATAGCAACCCTGTATAAGGTTTCTGAGACTGTAAATCTTACTCCCTTGGAGTGACTGGTAGATAGATTTGAATTGCTGGCCTTGCAGTTAGCAGCCTAACTAATAACCCACTAGCTGCCAGGGATCCTTCACATAGAATAGAAATTAACAACCTCAAGAGCACATGTAACAGTGAGCTGTAACAAAGTAATTAGGAAGTGATGAGCTTTAATAAGTTATTTTTTTTTTACAAAAAACCTTTAAAAGAGTTTTTTGAAAAAAAAAATGTAAATAAACCTTTAAAAGAGTTTTTTGTAAAAAAATATATAACTTATTAAATTGT